CATACCCAAATAGTTCTTTCCAAATGGCCCCATGCAGTTGGCCAATAATAATAAGGCCTTGATAGACGCGATAGCCACTTCATGACTCGAATGCAAACAAGAATCCTGGAGATGCGATAAAAACCTGCTTGAATCTCCCGATTGAAGAATATCCTATAAGAACTAAAACCTTAGGTATTCCACGGTACTACGCAAGTGATGAATCATCAATCCTCAAAGACTTATCGCCACTCTTCTCATGATATTGTTGCATAGCCTTAACGGCCCCCGTAACTATGCAAGTTCAACGGCATCCATAACAAGCGCGTCAACAAAAAAACTTCATATCTGGATTTTTCATTTGTAACACTACATGTACACAGCGCAAATATCACTACTCTCCAATAAGTACCCGATCCAACATATCTTTGCATGTTTTATTATTCATAAATCATTTTTGTTGAATGCAAACATTGTGAACTAAACGAATTTGGATGCGTCTCCAGTCCTAGTTTGAGAGCAGTAAATTCACAAACTTTATTATTATACTGTACAGTTCAGACTTCTATTCTCGAATCTTCGTGTGGGAGATTTACTAAGCTTTTTATCAGCGTATTTGCTTGTTACTAAAACACTCTTAAATGTATCTCGCTTTACTTTTGTTAAGTGTTAGGTTATTAAATATTTTATCCCTAGAAAAGAAATACAGTATTTCGCCGTGTATATGTCGGATAATATCCCGACTGATTATTTATTAGAGTTTTAAGGGAGATTCGCTGGGATTCGTGGGCTAATATGTCGATACGGGTTGAATTAAATTATTTATGGCCTTGGCAGTAGTATTTTTGGGATTAATATAGATTTTAATTATATGTACCTCGCTGATATTAACATCAAGATAAATCCGTACTCTCAATTCAAACTTATAATTCTAATAATAGTGATAATATAAATAATAAAGGCAATGACATTGAAAATGAGAAAATCTTCATTATGGTAGCGTAAGTTACTTTCGCAATACAAGAGCCCAGCTTGTCAAGATTGCAAGTCTATTACGATGCGTTCAATTGAATGTATACAAAACAGACGAGACGACAAGGAAAGTTCCTGGCGAAAGGGAGTTATAGAGAGAGAAAGAAGCAGAGATTTTTATTACGTGTACGACAGTAATCTTGATTAATTACCAAAAAGTTTGTGAATCTTGTGTGAATCAATAGTAAAAGATATGAAAACGAAAACTTTTTTAAAAAATTTCATTGTTGTATTTACAATATAAGTAGCAATGCTTTTTACATTGATTTGAAGTAAATTGCTTGTACTTTTTGAAATAAACAAAAATACACTGTTATAAGGCTGCAGTTTAACGAAGTGGGCAGATAAACGCATGTATAGTTTTATAGTTTTCCTATTGTAACTTATATAGTGTCACTTTATTAAACTACAGCTTTATAACAGTAATATATTTTAATAAACTCCCCCCAAACAGTACAATCAATTTAATGTAATGAAATTTTTCAAAAAAGTTTTCGTTTTTATACTTTTTACTATTGATTCACACAAAGATTCACAAGCTTTTTGATACCACCTGTAGACCTCAGTTCAAATAATATAGAATCATGTTGACATTGAATTTAACTTACTTTATACCTCCGTTGACTTTTTTTGCACACAATACATTAAATTCGAATACATTGGCGATAGGTATTGCATTTCTGTCAAGAAATAGCTCACGTAAATTTGCTTACAAAGCTAATCCAAAACGCCTGCAAATAGATTGAATATGATCCAGATCAGCACTACTTGGATAAAAAAAATAGGTTTATCAAAACGACGTGTTTTTGTTCAGATATTTGTTTAATTACGCAATCCCTATGTTTTTCTCTGTAATTTGGAAGATTTATTCAGTTGATGTAGGTGAGTACAATAACTAGTGTGCAGTGGTAGAATTGAGTACATTGTAAACTAGAAAAGTGTGTTTTATTTCTTTTTATTTAATATTAAGGATTACCCAATCGCTTAATTAATGAAATTAGAAAGTGTAATGATAATATTTAACAATTGTAGATTATGTGACGATAATTTATTTAAATCCTAACCTAACTGTGATATTTACCCTCTATAATATCCAACCCATGAGGTTGATATTAGAGGATGTCTGTAATAGTTTCCCAATAATAAGGATGTGTCAGTTGTTATCTAACACGCCAGCGACCAAACCCTGACACCAAATGTTATCAGTATTACAGAAATCTGCACCCTAGCTGGTTAAAGACAGCCTGGAGGATAGTGATTGGGTTATGACTTATTCCAAATCTATGTTTTCATGCTAAGCTAGTTTTAATATCATCTAACGAAGTATACGTGATAAATGAAATAGAGAAAAACCAAGTAAGTATGTATGAGGCTGATTTATGGTAGATATGATGTTTGTGAGAATATGGACAAGAAAAAGTTTCGGATTAAGAGAAGGAATTCAGAGACAAATTTCTGCTGGTGTATTAATCCTGTATATGTAATGTAAATGGTTAATATGTCCATTTGTGTTGACTGAATATAAGCCCCAATGGACTTGTAATTATGCCAACGATAGAGTTGTCACATTACATTACAATCACTAATATTGTGAGAGTTAATATCCATATCCACATACTTTTGTACACAAGTTTATGAGCAAACTTTTGTTTAAAACGTTTATTTAGAAGTCTCTTTGGGACAAATTGATTGCAATGTCGTTAACGGTTATCACAGTTCACGATTATTGTGTTTATAGCGAGTTGGTTGCCATTTCCTTTTGATTAACCAAGCGCTCACTTCTCTTTTTAATTTATTTTCTATGGAATTCATTACCGTTCGTTTGTTTTATTTTCTCACTGTAATGTCTAGTTTTACATCTTTGAAAGACAGCGTCAGTATGGACCCACTAGCCCCTGACGGTATTGTCAGTATAATTGACTTTCAGCATTTCCAAAATTTATTCGACCATTGGTATTGTAATAGCTATCACCACTTATAAATGGGTATTTGTAATTCACGATTTTTGATTGACAGAATTCGAACGCAGAATCAATTGTAACAAGTGAATGAGTTGCTATTTACGGTAAATACTCTCAGTCATCTGACGGTTTGCAAGTCACGTTTACTAAAATTTTCGCCCAGCCCAAGTCATGAGTGAAATAAAAATGGCTTACAAGACATACGATTATTTACACAGCATGTGTTCTTTCAATGTCAAGTGGGGTTGTCATTGGATCAGTCACATAACAACGAAAAATGGTAAAACATTGTTCACAGCTCAGGCTTCTGCATAGAAGACTGATATTTATCAAGCATGCATGATATCATGAACAGATTGAGATCTGAAAAGCTGTGTACTGCGCAACTAATTGATCAAATGGGAATTCAGGATTAGCAAGCAGGAATGTAATAGCGCTATGTATTTGAACGAATATTACTTTTATGACGAATCAAGTGTGTGAGAGAGGGAGGGAAAAGTTTTTTTTATGACGAATCAGGTGTGTGAGAGAGGGAGGGGAAAGGTTTTTTTTTATGACGAATGAGAGAGGAGGGAAAAAAATTTTTTTTTTTTCAGAATAACAAATAATAAAAGAACAAATTGCCTCGTGGACTGGTGCCTCAAACCATATTCTTTAGTAACGACACACAATGATTAGCGCATAGATTTTAGTGCATAAGTATGCGATGACTCAAAGCGTATAATGTAATTGTTTTGGCGTTCGTATGGTTCTGCAATTACTACAACGGGTGCCACACATGAAAAAAATTACGTAACTGAGCATCGGCCTAGTCCTATTTGTTCTAAATTTCTGTGTCCAACAAACAAACAGATTGAAAATATTAGATCTTGATAAGATTAGATGAAGATTAAGCCTTATCGAATTACATCGCCGTAATTGGAGTATTCGGTTAGACTTTCTAGCGGCTTTGCATCGTCACATTCACACGATACTCCCGCCCTCGTGGGAACATTTGTACATACTGCCCACTTGTAATCCACTCGCTAAGTTAGGTGGTTGAAAGTCGAATACAGAACGTACAATATCGACGCCTATGGAAGATAATACAAAAGTCGTTTTTATTGTTTGGTGATGTATAATGAATGTCTCATATTCATATAGCATAGCATCATATGCCCTCAATTAATCTTTTTTTTTTCTTGTCACAATCAGGTTTGCAGACAAGTTGATGTGGGGGGACGTGAGAGTCAGATCACAAGAACTAAAAACGGGGGGGTTATACTATGTGGACCCGATCATTTATTGTTTTTAATGTGCTAAAAACGCATAAGGATGATCCGACTAATGAGCAATGACTTTTACACATACACTGCCTTGGTACAACCTGAATCAATTAAATTGTTCTTTTTTTAGGCGAAATAATTTGGGTAACACCAAGATACAATATGAACAGATGCATAGTTGAGACAATACCCCACTCTACAAATACCCCACTCTACAAAATACCCCGATTTGGGGGTTTCTATGAGTAGGTACGCCACATCCTAATAAAACTGTCAAACAATAGTTTTATGCAGAAAATTTTTCTCGGCTGTAAAGCTGCAAATCTCTATAAGCACAGTCGCTAACCTTTCTCTATGAACCGAAACGTTAATTTTAACCTTGCAGAGAAAAAAAAACCAAGCAGGGGTTATATAAGCCAATCATCTTTCTATAAGGGCAATGTGGTCTAATTTAAAGAGTAATTACTATGAAGACGCACTATACGGCCGGAAAATACCGTGTAACATATACAACCCCTTTTTCTAACGTTAGCATTAACTTAGCATTAGTACATGACACTAGTATATATTTTCGCATAGTTATTTTTGCATGACGCAATTTGGAGTTGCACAAATTCTACTTTAAACACATAAATACATATACGGCATATTATACAACAATGGATGTCAACTATATATATAACCAACCCCGCACTTTATGATCGTCGATAAAATTCACTCAACAAACAATCGCCACATAAATAATTTTAAATAATTCAACCAAATGGTCCACGCACTCTCTATCAAGCCTTATACAATCTTTCAAATACGTTTAGAAAATGATACCCTGACCATGCGTGGTACTCCCCAAGAATCCGTCGGGTGTGTGCTGCGCGGGCAGCTGGTACTCGCGCTGACCGAAACCACCAAAGTTAGAGAAATTAAATTGGTGTTTGAAGGAAAGTCGAAAGTGACATGGATGGATCGTAAGTAAATCAATCTGACAATGGCCAATCGTTACCCATTTACATGTTCACAAAATACTCATCCCATCACGATTTGACCATTTTATCAAGTAACAGATCAAGAGCATGTATCTGATCAACGCACCGTATACCATCATGAATGGATTTTCATTCCTTTTTCGAAAAACATGCATACCCTCACCCCTGATAACTATGCCTGGGATTTTGAACTGGTCCTTCCTGGCTCGCTCCCCGAAACAGTCGACCACTGCAGTCACGGCTATGTTCAATATAAAATGAGAGCGATAGTGGAACGGTCCACTTTTGCCTTTAATTTACAAACACAAAAAGACGTTGTTATACAGAGAATCACCGATCCATTGTCGTTGGAATACTTTAGCAGTGTCGTTGTCACGAATACCTGGGTCGGAAAGGTGGATTACGAAATCTCTATACCGAGAAAGGCGTTTATTCTCGGTGACCAAATACCCGTCGAGGTTACGCTAAAGCCATTAAAAAAGAATCTTACGGTTAAGCGATATGTGTGCATACTGAAAGAATCCGTTACGTGCAAGGCAAACAATCGTTCATTCCACTCGAGTCGTCTCGTGCATATGGGACGAGACGATGAATTCTCATGCGATGGGTCATCATGGGCTGCAATCGAAGAATTCCCAATACCGCGCTCTCTTTCGTACTGTCTTCACGACTCGCAGAATGATATCATAAAGATAAGCCATAAATTGGTATTCTATATTACGTTCATGGATACCGAAACCAAAGCACTTTCAGAATTGAGGGCTGCGTTACCAATCGTCATTGTTCCGAACGAAGACCTTAAAAGCGAAATGACTTTGCCCAAGTATGATGAGCAGTGGCCAAGCGAAGTCGAGTACGATAACGATGGAGTGACAACATTTAATTTATCAGACTCGAGACAATTGCCTTCGTATCAGAGTGCTGTCAATTGTATGCCGGCATGTTTGTTTGAATCGCCACCGCCTGCTTATGATGTCTGTGTCAATGCTACCGTTCTAGGACAGGTGCGTTGAAAGAAAACACAAAACTAATCACATATGGACTTTATAAATATTGTGGTTGGGGACTATTACTATGTCAATATTATCTATGCTTTATTATTTAATTATTATTTAGTATACTATCATCTCTGCTTAGAGCCTTTAATACTTAGAGTTAAACTGTAAATAGCCTAAACAATATTACATTCATAAGTGCAATAAAAGAATAGTACATGTATAATAAATATAACAAAGTAGAATGTGCCTATGGAATATAGTATGATTTAATAAACAAGTCATCCGATTATATCGCATGACATACATGATTGAAATCATTCGATATTTATGCAACTGCGGGAATAATGCTAAGCAACTATTAGTCATCGGTTATTCGGTCACACTAGCTTTTTACCCACCCCCTTCTGGACTGTGTATGTATTTCTTCATCCCCCTGTTGGGATCGGAGTCGGCGTTATACAAACACTGTTTGCTGCACACTGTTTGCTGCGAATTCGATTGGAAAAATTTTTTTTTGCCTTCCGTGTGTTACATTTCACAAACATTTCCCCGCACTATTGTGCATTATCAATTTGATCAAGTCGTATTTATATATAGTAACAGTAATAGTCAACATAACAATGAAGGAATTTGTAATGTAAATAAAGCTGGTATTTGCAAAACAAGTACCGATAAACAAACTCGGAACGATTTATCCCTATCGTGATTTCCATGGACGATAAAGCGTGAAAGGTCACAGACAGTCCTCGGAGTAACATTTTTTTTTTTTTTTGATTGGTTGATGACTAGGTGTGAGGTCCGTCATCTCCGCAATCCGTGGACACATGATCCTTATCTAAATTGGTAACTGATGCTACTAAGAACATACAGATCAGTATGCAAAATTACGAAGTCACACCTTATTTGTCTGCAGATCGCTTGTCGATCCTTAATATTAACCGAGTATGCCAATATTTATGGTTTGTTCCACCAACTCTGAAGTCATAGCAGACTCACAATACCTAGTTACTTTAGAGAATCGGCACCATGAAGAAACGCTCTCAGCGGGAAGGATACTTGATTAGTTTCTTATCGTCTGAATTGTAGAATATAAATGTGGGAGATTTTAAGGGATGTATGTGTCTGTCTTCAAATGGCCTTACTCTTCAATGGCTTATTTGTTGACTGAGATGTTTGACGCTTTGATTTACAACAAAGTAAAGGAAAGAAATTTTTAACCTATCATATTTTTTAAACTGCACATTATTCTTCTAGGATAAGGTGAATTACCTTTTTAATGGTCAAAGATATCTATATTGCAGATATTACTATGTTGATTGCTTTAATTGAAATCAGGAATTAGATTTAGTCTTTTAAATATAATATTATATTGTAAGTTTTGGGTTTAACGAATAGGCATAGTAATAGTGCAAACAATAAAATATACAGTAACGTAAATACAATTGATGTCAAAAGACGACATCATTAGTCATGTATAGTATATACATAGGTTATACTCGAACAGATAATTGTTGCTGATTTTTATCAGGTAATTGTTTTAATGGAAAAAACAAAATGACTAATATTCTTGTCGCTAGGTAAATTTAAACTGATAATTGCTGCAACAGTTGTAAAATAATTGACTTCAATAATATTGGTATCGCTCAATATCAAGAGCCATCTACTTGAGAATACTATTTGGTGTTGTCGGATCAATAATATATACGAGGGAGAGCGTTCGTATATCGACCTTGAAACCTAGCTATTTCCAACGAGACCTTTGACTACCTAAATCTGTTAGCGAGATACTCACGGTGCTTTTATCAGTCTTATATCCTACACTAAGCGCTTTAATCCTGATGTCAAAGATTCCAACGTATACACGTATCGCTGATACGGAAAGGCGTTTACATTTTACCAGCGATAGAAAATCTCACCAGAGAATGAACGAAATAAATTCAAGAACTAATTGAAGGAAATTAGTTGATTAAAAACAATTATCGAAATAAAAGATGAACTATTTCTAGGGAAACTACGACTGCTTATATATCTTCCTATCGTTTCATTTCACTAAACTAATTAATTTTCGATAAATAATCAATAATCTGCTCTGAAGAATGCTGTCCCGATTCGGTCTAAAATTTTGACGCGCTGCACGTTGGATTATTGTATACTACCCGTAAATTACGTCATCCTTAATACATGGTCCTGACAGTGTTCTACCAAAACATACATTCAATAACGGATAAGTTTATGTGAACTTGGCATATGTACAGTATACCAAATTTGATGAAATCAAAGAGATTGGATTCACTATGACTCTGTATATTGCGCATCAATTTATTTATTTTGCAGTTAAAACTCATCGAAATGTGCTTGACGTATTTGACATTCTAGTCATAAAATATGTTTTGAAGTAAAACTTCTATTGCCTAAATGCGTATACAGTATAAACATCGTATTTAATTGGAAGAAGGATAAATCTTTGAATAAACCCGTGCAAGTTACAAATATACCATAGATTACAGGTTTATTCAAAACCTTGAGTCACTAAATTAATGAGATAAGAAATGTTAAATTGTAATTTTATCAACGTGCCAATTGTTGACATCATACCTGCAGCTGAATCTAAATCATAGCTATTTCTTGGTTTAGGCAGATCTCTGGTAGGTAAGAGCTTACTAGAATATTTACTCTCCTTCTCGAAACGTGACAGGCATAGATGGTCGTAGTCCGCCCATAATATCGCATACTAAATCTCTATCGAACTGCCTATCTCTAAAAGGTGGTTCACCAGTAGCAATCAAATACATAATGATACCAAAAGAATACACATCTGATTTCTGAGTAAATTTGCAGGTATGGAAGACTTCCGGTGCAATAAAGGGTAAAATGCCTCGAATGGTTGAATCTGACTCGCGTGAGTTCACTGATCGTGAGAGACCAAGGTCGCATATGAGTGGTTCCGTCTCAGATCCTCTATCGTGCAAAACAATGTTTCCGCCATGAAGATCACAATGCACTAATCCCACTTTATGAACATTATACAGATCATATGCAATATCCCCCAAACGATCCTCCACGTCAATTTGTTAATATTTTGATCCAAATAAGACAAAAAACTACCATTGTTAGCATATTGCATAACAATCATGTATGGTGGCTATCATCTATAAACCGCACTAATGTCACATGACTTTCAAACTTTATACAAATAAACCTATTGCAAATCTAAACCGATAGAATGATAAATTAAAACAAGCTGAACATTTTTATCGGTGTACTTTTTTAAAATGTTATGTAAAATTTTAAGTTATTGTGGTTTAAAATTCAGTGAATTTCTATATGATATATAGAAAAAAAAAGCAAATTTCGGACTAGAGATCTCATTGTTTCTTGATAATCTTGATTGAACCTATTCAATGACCCGCCCATCTAAAAGAAAAATTAATGTTAAAGAACAAGAACGAGACAATAATGGAAGGTTTGCAAAAAAAATACAGAGTGTTGATAATTGGGGAGATGATGATGATAGTTGTTGGGATTATGATAATGGTTGGGACAATGATGTTAATTAGAGTGATAATTTGTTAAATGAAAGAAAAAAAGAAGATTCGCTAGGAAAGCATGGCGCTACATGAATTTGTATAGGAAGGGAATCACTGGTAAGTTGGCAGAATATGCTGCCAGAAAGTATAAGTCTCACCGTTGTATCCCTGAATATGTATTGTCAGAATTGAATGAAATAAAATTATGAAACGATATCTACAGTATATGCTATCATTGTTCATGGTCATGTGATTTATTATAAAATCACGTGTTGATCTACATACGAAATTTCGGATTATAGATGATAGCCACCATACTCTTTTGTTTCTGGGTCTTGTGTCACTCCATAAATTTTAAGGAATGAATAATCACTGGTTTGCACACTTGTCATGATTTCTGAACTATTAGATAAAAATAATTACAGCGTCAAATTAAATATCACAATCAGTTTAATTAAAACTACCAATTATTGCTTACCTCGGAAATAAATAATTCCGGCGTTTCATCAAAACTCTTAAACCGTTTGAGTACAACAGTTTGTTGCATATTATCTACTTCTAAATACTTTTTGTATTTGGTAGTATAAACTGTTCCGTAACCTCCAGAACCGATCTCTTTGAGTTCGTAAAAGTCGCTATACTGCATGATATCATCACTATCGTAACGTTGTATAATTTTGACCAATAGTGCATGTACGTCGTGGTAGAAAACTAAATAATATTCCCGAGTAGATGGCTCCAAAGTGATCCCGATTATCCAAATATTCTCGGGTGTTAATATTACTGGGTATTCCTTAGTAGGCTGTTTGAATAAACAAATACAGTTGTTACAACATTGGTCAATTTAAACGCGCGATACTAATACACACGTTAGTACTACTATTTACATTTTACACGTTTACCTGATGAAAATCAAATAACTGATTGTCCCCTTCATCAACTATCTTTTTGAATGACACACATGTCAATTCATTTGTTGTCAGCTCTAAACATTCTGTTATATGTGTGCATCCATGGCGTAATGATGTCATCTCTTGTACATTTACATTTGTCAATAGAGAGTATTCAATCCATTGTATATATGCATCATATTCATTCCTTGTATTGCTCCATGATTCTATAATGAATAAATCCAAAGACTTGTTGCCCGTAGTCCAATCAAGAGGTTGTGGTGCTTTACATTTAAGACAGAATACACTTATCTTGGGGTTTAATTGACATGTACATGCCAGACATAATCCAATATCTTTTTTTTCTTTGACTAGGTCATACTTTTGTCCACATGTATCATATGTGAATACAATGGTAACTCAACGATCTCTGTTAAAAATATCTGGATGCTCATCACATAACTAGTGGAAATAATAAGTCAGTAATTATTTAAACTATTCAATAAACATGACGTATAAGTAAATGGTTTACCTCGGCGTAATATACATTATCTGTCTCGTCTGTTATCTCAAGTGGAATCAATTTAACATGTGCATAAGCAGGTAAACCATACAACTCTGCATAATCTCCCTCATTCTCAATAATCAAATGGAATCTATTCCAAATAGGCATCATTTGGTGAGTTTGTTTGTAATTGAGATTTCTTAATAAACTCATCGAGTTGCTTATCGTTGCTAGTCCATCCATCGGATAATTGTTTATGACCACAAATGCACCACACGGAACCACATCGAAGTATTCCACATGCGGAGCAGAATCCATATCGAGAGTAACAATGGTAAAAGAGTTCATCAGCAACCATGTAATACTTGTCTTCGTACTTGGTGAATCCTCTTATAAGTTCGTTGTTGCGTTGACTAAGCCATTTTGCATAGCGTCTAAATTGACAGACATCATTATCGTGCTCGTGTGTTGGAAGTGATTATATTCTGGCAAACTCATTCACAAGCGTTTGTGTGCATTCTTCGTTACTTCCAAGCAATACTCACCACCTTGATATGATTTTGCATGGTAGATGTTGTCCATTGAACTTGACGTTATGTCGGTAATTAGTGAGCAAGGAATCCATTCAAGTTTATGTTTACTTTCCAAGGACAATTGAATCAAGTTTTCAATTGCTGGATTATTAACAACTCCTGGCGTTAACAACATTAGCTTGAATAGCCATTAACATTGCACATGACGTTGTTTTTTTCAATTACTGAATATTAATTAATTGAAATTAATTTTCTTATTAACAAAATCATAAACATGGTTAACCGTTACCGCATTACTCAATCGACACCTGTTTCATGTTACATGAATATTCTGTAACCGTAACATTAAGGTGCAGTAATCAACTCTATTATAAACAGATACGTTGACAAGTATTGTATAAGTGATTATGCAAGCGAGTTTACATTTCTACTAGGTCTTAGCAATCCATAAACTGTAATGTTCCATTTTGGGTGAAATACGTAGACTTATTCGCAACTGGGGGGATGTAAACGATCTTTAGCCTTCAGTACAGTGTTTGCTAAGTGTTGACTAACATCCATAATATTTATTTTACGCGCGTACTATACTACATTATCTGTACACGAGAGTATGCAATTTCAGTGGTTTCTCGATAATCATATCCAAACGCAACAACAAAAGTTTTGACGTGCTATCTAATTTACGACACTAATTCTATTTTAAGAGTTTGACCAATTTTTTTTCTCTTTACTATTCACAATAATGTATTTATATTATCGGTAGCTTTATTTTATTTATTCCCCTTTCAGTATCCAACCCAATTTTATCCGTAATACTGTTTTGAATATCAATGATGATGGAAATTTATACTTTTACAGAATTATGGTGATATTAAAATGAATGGAAATATTAGTCTAATCCCAAGATTTTACCCCGTGACATTCGAATAAGAACATTCGATAAACTCGCATATTAAAAAGAGTTATCTTGGCTCTTTTGTTTCATAAATTGACAGTTTGTAATCCTGTATATAAAAGTTGCAGTCACAAAGTCAATCTTCCTGTTCTTTTTGAACCCTAAAATTAATAATGACTACAACAGGGTAGGGTGACAGAGACACGCACACAAGAAAATAGCATACATCATTACTTCTCTGCAAAAAGAATAGCGAAAACGGTTGGTTACTTATTCTGAAAAAGCTAGCATGGGCATTTATTCATTATTGTCTAGTTATTTGTTCTTCTATCGTTTTATTATGATCATTGTACCAGTTAATCACGTGAACCTTCTACATATCTATACTAATACATAAAGAATTTAAAAGTAATTTGTGTAGATGGCGTTTACTTTTCGGTGCACATTATTGTATCAATGTGTGAGTGGGTTAACCTTATTAATGAATACAAGGAAACGAACATTCACATAACTAAATTTCTTTTTTTTTTTTTTTCTTATTTGGTTTCCCTTGACATTGATCACCTTAATTTGCTTAGACTGATTTCAATAATGCGGGTGTCCCTTTTTCATTAGCCCCAGGATACACTCGTATATTAATATAGAAGCATTATAAATCAAGCGATTTATTACATAATATGATCTTTCCGGTGCTTCTCTTTCCGGTGCTTCTCTTACGGCCACAAAGACAGAGTCACGACAATGGCTGTCCTCTTTATTCACGAAACTCGTGTATGTTGGGAGAGAGGCGTGTGCTCGTTGTCCTATACGAGCCTCGTTTGATGCAAGACCAAATAACAAAATAGCGGAAAGTCCGTTGTTTCCCGAGGCGATGACGGAAATTATATCATTTGTAATACAAAAGACATAATTAGCTTGAATTCTGAGAATATGTTGAAATTCGTCAACGTCAGTTAGAAAACAGATTAGCTTGATGGTTAGCTTTCTTTATTCGTACCACAAGGAAAGTTTGGGCTTGGAAATTAGCCTTCATACATACAGAATAATAGTAATGTTAATATACATACAAATATCAACGGGGTTAGCATTGTGATGATTTCTTCTCGAATGCCATCGATTTCTGTATTGGTATGTAAGCTCCCCAAAGATGTTAATCTAATTCCGATAAATAATCATAAATAACTAACTGTTTGCACACTGTACCTTTGCATCGCTCTTCCCTATAAAGTTTAAACGTGTGACCAGATTCAACAGAAACACGTGTAAAGCCAATCGATCAATCACACAAAACGTATGCACCTTCCCTGTCCAAGATTCATTCTCAAGCCTGAAATATGTTGATTTTTGCTACGTAAACTTGCACATTTTTGATAAACACACTCTCACATTCTCACTAACATATTGTTTAAATATTTAGAGTTTTTTTTTTTTTTTATTTTCGTCCCGCCCCTTCTTTTCACCCCGGGCTTGTAAATAGTAAATAGCCTTGATAGACTGGCCGCCCTATCAAAGATAAACAGTCAAAACCTTCCAATATGAAACACATGTTTTCAAAAATTAAGCGGCCTTCGCCTCTGAACCCTGTCGTGGACGACGGCAATGCTAGTAGTATTGGAAGCGATTTTGACAGTAACAATAGCTCGCCCACTTATGCCAGTCCACCGCAGGGCAGCGGGGGCAAATTCCTTGTTAGATCGCGCCGAACTTCTTTCATTGATGCAAACGCGATACCTGATATGTCTCGCCTAACTATCGGGACTCCTTCTAACAAAATTATTAGACAGAATCAGTTTGAAAATTCTGCAGGAACAACACAAGGTGGATCACCTTTTTACCGAGAAAAAAACGAGTCGACAGCTAGAAATCGCAGACATATGCATACATTATCGCTTGACCTCGATCACATACAATTCGGACCTTTGGATAAGGAAGAAGATAGACTGTCGGCTTCATCACTCGTTGATACATCAATACAACCGCCGCCAATAGAAACCATACTGCCTGCTTCCGATATATCCCAGCAAAGTCTATTACTACATAATATCGCAGCAATAAAGAACAATTTGGAGAGCAGGAAGAAATTATTGCTCAATATTATCAACGCCTTAACTGGTTATGTAGAGCGCGGGTTGCAATACGTAGAAGATGAAGAAGACGTTAACGACAGTGACGATGATAATTCTGAAGATGACGTTGATTTTGAATCGGATGAAATGATTTTTACTAATTATAACGAGACTCCTGGTAATGGCTAACAAACCATTTGTATATATACTTTTGCTAAGAGACTCGCTGATTTATATTTACTCTCGTTTTTAGCTACCGAAACTCCACAAAAACCCATTAATTTGGACTACGCAACACCCCAACCTGGATCGAACAAACAAAGGAATGCGAACAAAGGACACCGGATCATGACCGTTGCGAACAAGCCGGTGGACAATTCCGGTGAACGTGTTTCCTCTTTGTCCCCGGCAGACGTAAGCGGTTGTCGTTCAGCTTCTGGATTACCCGAAGTTTTGTCGGGTGATAGAAATTCCAACGCCAACACTCCAATTACACAACAAAATGATAGAAATCATAACAGTCGCCTCGCTTTGATATCGGAAGATTCTTATCGAGCCACGCCTTTCATTGAAGCCCTGCAAGAGCTCATCGCTGCGGCTCAATCCATTTTGGATACCTCGCTCTCTGATTTATTGACCAATCCGGCACATTGTGAAGATATCGTTAGCAAAGTACAGCAGCAAGGCCAACGTTGGAATGATAATCCCGACTGGCCGTGTCGACGCTACTATGTAGCCCTATTGCTAGCTCTTGCAGACCTGACGCGATTGGTTCGCTTATGGGAAGCCGAAAAAGGATTTTGGAATCTCAGAGACGAAGAAGAAATTGGCAATGATACTTTACGTAGCATTAAGTTTGTATTCCACATGGGAACCGATCAGGCCGAGGACAATGTAAAGGAAGACACTATGGAAGACGTTAATACAGCTGAAGATGTAGAGGAAACACTCAGAGAGGATGAAGATCTTCAAGAGGCCGCTAAACAGGGGCAGAGTATGAACGTTATTATGGAATTAAGTTTATCTGATTGTAGAATTATGTATCTCAGTCCTTCATGGAGTTCGGTGGTGGGTTCAGATCCTCGGCAGGTTTTAGAGCAACCTATTGCACAATTTCTAGCTCCCGATGATGCTGATGTGTTTGCAAAGGCAACGGAACAGCTTTTACAAGACTTTTCGAGTTCGCTTGAAGTAAAATTTCGATTAAAGCCATCGGATTTCGATTCTTACTTTTCAGATACCGAAGAAGATGATGACGAATTTTCTTATTTGGAAATGGAAGGGAAAGGAATGATTGTGTATGACCGAGCAACTGGTATTGCTAGCCATTCAATATGGGTCATAAAGCCGATCGATGACGGCCTTTGGGAGGCCGATAAGAAAGATGCTGAACAGATGTCAAACATAAGCGAAGAAGCAAGCGATAATATTATGTGGCATCAATATCAACCTATCCCAACATCACCGTCCGCACATAACTTGGATGTGCCAGATATTCCAGAGTCACCAGAGGGGGTTGACTCGTACTATGAGCAGCCAAGGAGCGAGTGTTCTGAGACAGAAACACAGGCAGAACCAGTTTTATGCCATATTTGCGAACGACTTATTCCGCCTATATTTTTTGAAAGACACTCTGCAGCCTGTGCCGACTTGAATCGTGCGACAATGGATGTGGCAATGTGCAATGATGGTATCGGTGAATTGAAGGGACAAATTCGATCGATAATTCAAGAGAACATTGGTGTTTCAGAACAACAATCGGCAACGCACAATCAAGATCAAAAACAGATCGAGTATGATGCCTTATCATCGATGAATGATATTCTTAATGTTGCGTTAGAAATATCCACTCCTGAATCGAAAGACGAGTCCGATGATAATAAACGACTGGCTTTGATATCACCTAGATCTGAATCTAACATAGCTAGCATATTGAGTTGGAAACCACCTACTTTGAATGCTGTATCAATGTCTGAACTAGCCAATGACGTTGAGACAGTTATACGAGGAAAAGTGGAGGCCGTGAACAATCTTAAATCTGCCATAGAGAAATTTGAAGAGATTCGTATGGACATTGAAGACTATACGAACAGCAATTCACAAGACGATGCCATACAATTTAATTGCGAAGCTGATGATCCTGATACAAGACTGCCGTCGATTGAAAGTGAAGAGAATGCCGAACCATCTACACCTACAGTTGATGTATGTAACGCTGACAGTTCTTCGCAAGTAGACACAGGCACCGGTCAGGATACTGGTGACTTCCAAACGGTTGGGCAGAATGCGAGGATATCTATTGACATTGAGCATACAAATACTGCTGCATCGAGCCCCCGAATTGCGGAATCTAAAGACTTGACAGACATTAATGACACCAGATTGTCAGCTTCTCCGTCAACATCATCTCCAAGAATGTCATCAAAACCATCTCAACCAAGTATCAAAGATTTCGAAATTATAAAACCAATTAGTAAAGGTGCTTTCGGCTCGGTGTATTTGTCAAAAAAGCGCACAACGGGGGATTATTATGCGATCAAAGTGTTGAAAAAATCAGACATGATTGCAAAGAATCAGGTCACTAATGTAAAGGCCGAAAGAATGATTCTCATGACGCAGACAGATTCTCCGTTTGTCGTCAAATTGTATTTTTCATTTCAAAGTAAGGATTATTTATATTTAGTAATGGAATATCTTAATGGAGGTGATTGTGCCGCACTTGTAAAGGCTATCGGAGGATTACCGGAAGACTGGGCAAGAAAGTATTTGGCCGAAGTAGTCTTGGGTTTAGAATATTTGCATAATAGAGGAATCGTTCACAGGTATAAAATGCAGTCCTAAAAATATTTCTTTGTCTTTTCGTATCATACTCACGTGTACGTATACTACCATTTTTTTTCCCCAGAGATCTCAAGCCAGATAATTTACTAATTGATCAAAACGGACATTTGAAATTGACCGACTTTGGACTATCGCGAATAGGTTTTCTTGGAAGACAGACGCGCAACGAGTCTGTGGCAAGTGATGGCAAAGGCCATAAGAAATGGCCGTCTCGCATGTCATCTTTTGACGCTTCATCATCGTCCCCCACGACACCAGACTCTACGAATTCGCATCTTTTCCCTCAGTCATATTTTGGATTGCTTCTATCACATAACAAGAGAAGTTCCGTATGTAGTAGCGGTTCCGCCGAAACCAATTTTATCGGAACAACGAGTGCAGCCCAAAGTGCTCCAGATACACCAAGCAGCCCTGCTGGGAGTACACCTCTAAAGTCGGGATTTTTCGATGAATTACAGAATTCTACGTCGATATCAGCAAATTCGCTTTCTACAAGTACCTCGACAAACAACCATGCATTTATTAACACTGAGAAACAAGAATCGACCAAAAACTTTGTGGGGACACCTGATTATTTGGCACCAGAGAGTATATTGGGTATGGAAAAAAATGATATGGTTGACTGGGTATGTATCCGTAATGTTTGATATCCAATAGTTATATGCGCCGAGTCTTGGACTTTTTTGCACGATATTTACTTCTTCTTTTGCACCTGCTAGTGGGCTTTAGGCGTAATATGTTATGAATTCCTCTACGGTATACCACCATTCCACGCAGAAACACCAGAGAAAGTGTTTGAAAATATACTTTCCAGAAACATAGTGTGGTACGATGACGTAGAAATTTCTTGGCAAGCTCGAGATTTCATAGAGCGCCTTTTATGTATGAATGTGGAAGACCGCCTAGGTGCTAATGGTGCCAACGAAGTGAAAACCCATCCATTTTTCAACGGCATAAACTGGGAGACTATATTAAATGAGCCTGCTGATTTCGTTCCGCAACCAAAGCATATGGAAGATACAGATTACTTTGACGGTCGGGGCGCACAGACAGCTCAATTTAACGACGTTGAAGAGCTGGCGTCAGCCAAAGAGGCTGTCAAAACGGAGGGGATTTGTAATTCAAATCATATTGGACTCGAAACCGGCGACTTGAGCGAAGGAAAAATCAAAGATCAGGAGAACGTAGATGATTTTGGGACATTTGTTTATAAAAATCTACCCGTATTGGAAAAAGCTAACCTTGACATCATTCGAAGGTTGCGTTCTGATTTCGGTGACAATGGTAGCGGTAAAATCCGCCAGATGTTGATACAGGCCAGGCCGCAACGCCCTCGAATGGGATCCATGTCAGAAATACGTCCCTGTAATGGTTCGCCCACTCTCTCCACTAGCTCGATATCAAGTGGATCTCAAATCGGTCCATCGTCACCATTGTCGCCGGTATCACCAGGGGAAAATTCCGATTCACGATTCGGCGATAGTCAGACTCCGCTAAGCTATGTTAGACATGTAGTCAAAGAAAAGCATCGTCGCAATTCGCTCCCAACACGACTAAGAATCCCCGCATTGAGCAATGTAGACCGATCCGCAGCTTTACCAGATACTTCACGTCTAAATAGAACTCGACACGAGTCGATAAGCCGTGCGCCTTCCATCACCAGAGATAGTAATCTGAGATCGAACAATGTTACCCAATCTATATCCCGGAACGTGCGATTATCCAGACGTTCGCTGGATTGTTTGGTAGCCGAAGACAATCCCATAAGTGCCAAGATAATGGAAACGATTCTATCTAAACTGAACTGTCGTTGTGTTGTTGTCAGAAATGGGGCAGAGGCTGTTAGATGCGCTCTGGCAGATGTTAAATTTGACATTATTTTCATGGACATTCGCATGCCTATTAGTAAGTGTTGGAATCATAGGGGATGACTTTTTTTTTTGTTTTGGAAAATGACTGACTTGTATTTTCCCATCGCTCGAACTCATCCAGTCGATGGCGAATTAGCCACGCGTATGATTAAATCTACAAAAAACATTAACATGACCACACCAATCGTTGCTGTTACCGCATATGAGCATAATGCTGGAATATCAAGGACTTTCGACGATGTTATTAGTAAGCCAGTTGAAAAGAACAAAATTTTATCTGAACTTGAACATTTTTGCTACTACAACTCGGGCGGATGAATGAATCCTCGGACATTATTTGTGAATAGTGTATAGATTAACTACTACTCGTTATTTTGCGCGGTAGAGGGTATATGCCCACTCTCTTTAGTGAGGCGCTTGGACATTAGAATTGTCGTATGAAATGGTTGTGCAATACTAACGTGTATATAAGCATTCAATTTTTTTTTCTACTATTGTGTTAACAGTAAAATCAACTTATACAGATCGCATTCACTTGTACCATCACACAATAAAAAAAAAGGCCAGATATATCACACGGGAGAAAGTACATTATTTTGTGGGAAGAGTTTTAGATTGCACTAGCAGGCTTGGCTTAACCTATTCACCCATGGTGCAATATCGTTGAAACTTTTGCACACTCAAATGCGCTAAAGAACATGTTCATCTGAAATCATTGCTATACTTGTTAGTAGAATTTCAACTTTGGAAGATAAAACATCATCTATTATTATTAGGAGCTAAATAATAGGAACGATATATTAATATTAATATTAATGTAGATTAATTAACCCGGCCTCGAAGAAAATTTCAACTTTGTCTATATTTAGAATATTTGTATTGTGTGCTTACAAATTCAGTTTGTTAACGTTAATACGTTTATTAATAATAGATGTGCAGATTGTAGTAGTAAATGATTGAGTTACGACTTTCAGTACAGCAGTAGTAATAATAATGGTTGAGTGTGCTGTATCACAGTCTATTCATATGTTTCGTCGTCGATTTACGTTATTTCTACTCTCTCAGATAGATAAGACTAAGCTTTATAGCGGCGAGTGAATAAAGTTCCTTGCGATAGTTAATTTCTTCTCTATCTTACATGACAAACGAAAGGTTAAGTTTGAGAAACGACGAATCGCGTTGTTAATTGTAATTATGGATGGAACTTTTTCCCCCGCCACTTTCCCTTTTTTTGGACAAGCTATTTATTTAATAACAAAGATCTAAACTATCTCATGTACAATTTAACGTTTACAATCAGTTGCCGGAATGTTTTTTGTTTTTTTCGCCAATAAAGACTATACGACTAAAAGGGAGTAAAAGGGGGTTTATAATTATTTACATATAAAATATTCAACGAAAGCACGCCATCCAGGTCTTAGAACCTATATTATAGAACAAATATTAATATTGGTTCATCCTTCGATTTCTGGGCAAATAGCAGAGTGTTGACAAGTGCCGTTAGCGTTAAAAGCGGTCACTAACTGTCGTACTTAAATGGAAATGGAAATGATCTATAAATTTGATTGGCTGTTTATTGAATCGTGCAAACGAATATCAGCACGTATAGAATACACAATACCAGTGTATGAGCGAAAAAGATTTTATTATTTGGCTCCTTTCCAACATAAATTGAAATATCCGCATATTTGCTGCTTTCGTAAAGCTTCTCATAGCCTGACAAAAGGCCTAAGGACAAATCAACTACGATATTCATTTTATGCGTGACTACGTGCCTATACGTACGACTTCATTGAACAGACAATCGACGAAAAAATCGATATACTTAATGGAAGAATAAGAAGTGATTTTTAAACTTTGCACACACACAATACTGTAATAAAAATACAATTATGGCGAAGCAGGGCTTGTGGGCCTATACTACAGTTATATCCCCATGTTGGGACCCAAGGGATATATCTGAGGTGGGATATAATTTTATTGGTTAATAAATTCTATCAGTGACGCTAAGCGCCGAATTATATTGTGCATTTATCTAATATCATTTTCTGTTGCAAATTCTCTTTATTCTAAAAATTTCTTGGCCGTCGCAAGTGCTTCTCTTCCTACCTTTATGGATATACTCACTTCTTCCCCTTCACTTAAATTTAAAAAAAAAAAAAAAAAAAAAAAAAAAAAAAAAAGATGAATGAGCAAAAGAAGAATGACAAATGGTTTAACGCTAATAAGACTGACGATTGGTTTGAACTTGGAAATTGCTGTCTTTCTTTTATTTATTTTCTGATAAATTTGCTTAATATAATTAAGGGGATATAAACGAGGTTACGTTCATAATGAATTACTATAGGATTGGGAAATTGGGATTGGGAAAAATCGGGGATAGGGATATATCTGAGTGGGATATAACTGAGGTAGATTTATATGGAATTAAAATAAGGGAAATCCGTCTAGCATTAAAGCTGGGATATAACTGAGGTAGGACTGTATCTATTTTTCAATTTTTTTTGTACACGACGCCTTTACTTTCAGATTCGTTGCTTGCTGATTTTCTATCTTTTAGCAACCCTACAATTACCCCAATTATTCGTTGCAGTTTTTGAAAGATTAATTTGATATTCGCGCTCCCTAGTGCAATAAAACCCCATCATAACAAAATGACTGTCCGTGACTAGAAACGAAAAGGTAAAGATATCGAGCTTTTTTTTTTCGGTTGTAATAGCAAAGTGATGGCAAAAAATCCTACAGACGCGTGACTGCAAATTATACGACATTATAGAATTAATACTATAGACGTAAACAACGCAGCAATATGTCATGTTCACTACGCATTGCAGCGTTATGACTTTAGGACAAACTATACGCCAATTTTCGTTCCAAATCACAACCATAAAATACAAAATCGTCGTCTGTAGACGTAAAAACAACTTAATACATCAATTTGTCTTTATGTATTGCAAGAACTCATAGTTCTCATTGACCAAATATCACATATTTCTGCAGAAGGTTGATAATCAAAGTTGTAAGTGAGGAACAAATGACAGATAACTAATGAATGTGAACTGTATGATATTATGACATTGTCATATATATTATTGTAACATACACCTATCGATGGTTGTGTTTCTTGTACATTAGTATTAGTGTGCATACAACTTATCTATAACTCCACATAGTGATAAGACAAGAGTGAAGCAGAATGCCAACTTGATTCATACATCATGCTATAATTCCGATCTGACATATGAAAATAAGCACCCCCATACAATCTTTCTAAATGTTTCTACAGCATGTGACTGTTTACACGTATTACAGAAGTTGTGTTGATATCATATTGCTCATCATTAAGATATCTATGTTAACCAGTGAAATAATTTTATTTATGGAAACACAAAAAACACCTCCCACCCATAATCCTTCCAAATGTTTCTACAGCATGTACAGAAGACAAGGGATCCCCCTAGCACTGTCATTGGCTGCTTTACACCATAGACAACAACATTTATACTTATAAGGCTAAAGCACCTTACAATCCTTCCAAATGTTTCTACAGCTGTGCAATATAGATAACAGCATTTATACTTATAAGGCTAAAGCACCTTACAATCCTTCCAAATGTTTCTACATTATTCCATGACAATTATAAATTTTATGACTTGTTAACCAGTGAAAAATTTTTTTACTGCGTGTACCCCGGAATGTTACACTGATTCTATCGGGACAGACGCGGTATTATGTCATGACGGAGTCATATATATACCCAGACACTTCCCTCCATTGCGATACATCGCTTCACAATAACCTCTCTTCCTTCAAAGCGCAAATACAACATTATTTTAAATATACAACAAACAATCCTCTGTCGCCACTCTATATTACGCACATACGACACGAACAATTATCAAACAACGAACGATCCTGTCGCCACTCTATATTACTTACATACGACATCCAAAAACGAACCTTAACACTCAACAACGACACGGCTTATCGACCACTAGTTATATACTCAGACGCTCGATGAAAAAAAAAGGCCCACACTGACGCGAGGGTGTTTTCGAGAGGTAAGAATTCTTACTGGGTAATTTGTTGAGGGTCTGTAGCCGAAGGTACGCTGCCACTAGGTATAAAAGCCGGATAATCTTGAAAGCTCTCCGGGCCACA